GCTACGATTAATATCAAAATGATCTAGAATAATATCAATTTTAATTGTTTGTTTTGTTATTGGAAGTTTATCCATTCAGTCGTACAAATACTTATAGTTTTTTAAATCACTAAATTAATAATTTTGTGTTGCAGGATCAAATTAAAAATTCATTTAGCTATGATTATTAATTTAAATAATTGGATTGGTAAATTCGGGCTACTCTATAATTCAAATAAATTGTTCCGAATGGTATTAATGTAGTGTAAGTTATGCTTGCAATGGTTTTAACAACATTAAACGTACTATTCTCAAAATGGTAATTGGGTTTGATCACGATCTAATATGGCATGCTAATACTTTTTTACTGGTAACAAATAAAAACCGACACCCGTCGACATTTTTTTTTTACGGTAAAAATAATTTTAACAATCGTTATGGGGATTTGTATCGGTAAAATAAAGTTGAGTAGACCTCTTCCTGAACCTGAAGAAATTGTGTCAACGCTTAATAATTCATCAAACATTTCCAGCCACTTTCGGTTTTCTGATGGTAGAAGATATCATAACGTAGTAAATGCTGCATATTTCTTACCTAACGATGACGATGAATGTGATAGGCTGCATTTACAGCATACTATGGAAAGATTTATTTGGCAAAGTAACTTTTTCTCCCCAGTTGAAGATCTCCTTAACCAGGATGGAACAATAGTTCTCGATTCGGGGTAAATGCATATTTGATTTATAATTATACTAAAATTGTGTAATAATAATAATATAATAATAATTGGTGTTGTTACTTTATCATTACTTTAGAACAGGTGGTGGTTCTTGGTCGCTGGAAATGGCATTTAACTATCCAAAATCTAAATTTATCGGAATTGATATTTCTCCAGTTCAGCCTGAAGAAAATAAGCCTCAAAATGTTGAATTTATTCAGGCAAACATAATGGGTCGCTTACCTTTTGATGATAATACTTTTGATTTTATATTTCAGCGATTTTTGCTTGCCGGAATTCCCACGGATAAGTGGCCATCAGTAATTAATGAGTTAGTTCGCGTATTAAAGCCTGGTGGTTACTTGGAGGTCTGTTGTATTATTTTATCTTAAATATATTAATAAAAAAGGTGCATTATAATAATTTTTTTTTAGTTAGCAGAAAATGACATTCATTATTCATTTATGGGTCCTGCTTCAAAAAAACTTATTGAGGGCTGTAAGGATTACATTAATTAATTCGTCATGATTATTCTTTACAATCCAATATTCTTACTTTATATACTGTACAATATTTTTTAGTTTCAATACTACTTTATGAACGTGGCTTAGATCCAGCTATATGTTATAAAATTCAAAAGTATTTAGAAGAAACTGACCAACTTCATAATGTACATTGCGAAGAAAAGAAACGTGTAGATGGTCAAGGCGCCACCACAGTGTACAAATTGGTAACGTTTTAATATAAAAGATAATTAATTTGAATTAATTAATAATTAATTAATAAGATTATATCTACTACATATTTAGCTTGGTAAAGATTATTCTGCTGCTATGGCAAATATGAAACCTGCGCTAATACATACAGTTAAAGTTTCTAGTGATGAATATGACCGTTTAGTTAAAGAGTTTGAAAAAGAAACAATAGAATTAGAATCCTTTAATCCGCACGTACGTGCTTATGCTCAAAAAAAACTTTGATAAATTAGTATTACAAGTTTAATCAATTCATGTAATTAATTCGTATTAATTTCAATATTATAATTAATGTTAATAATTTTAATACTGCCAATTACTGTACATCAATAGACTATTTTATGTATTATAAATATAGCTGAAATAACTGGTTTAATTCTCCATTCGCTTTTAAAATATTTATATAGTATTATTGTATATTAGTTTTATATGAATCAAAATAAGGCAAAAGGAAAACGATTATTATCGTTATTATGAGACTATGATGGATCACATTTGTTATTTATCATTTTAATTAAATGCAGGTATTCTTTTTTGCATATAATATATGATCCATTCTATAAAGCAATGGTTTTTTGGGGGGTTTTTTTTTGCGAAATTACACTTATCTGTCGAGAAGAAAAAAATTTAAAAAAGAGAAATTTTCGAAGACTAATAATCTGTAAGGTATTGCTTAAAATTACACACGTGGCAACCAGATGATTTGAGACAAGAATATGGCCAGCATTATGCAGAATTAAGCAAATCACAAAGGGGGTACCATCCTTTTAAAATTTAAAGGAATTTTAGAAACTTTAAGCAAATATTTCTCGATAAATGTTTAACTAATTCCAGAAAACTTTTTTTTAATTTAATTCCACGAATATGTATAGTTAAAATAAAAAAATTTTTATCGAATTTGGTTAGATAGTCATGGAGAAAACATTGCTTAAAGTTTTAAAAAAAGGTTGAAAATCTTAGAAAAAAGCAAAAAACCGTAGTAAAAACATCTTTTTTTAACTTTAAGCGAAGATTTCTCAACAGTTATCTAACCAAATTTGATGAATTTTTTTTTTATTTTAATTATTTTAATTCTACAAACACGCAGAATTAAAATAAATTTTTTTTATTGAATTTAATCAGGTAGTCACTGAGAAATATTCATTTAAATTTTTAAAAAAAATTTACCGCAGCTTCTTTTTTGTAGGTACTAAAACTTCAATCGAAATTTTCTCAATTATTATCTAATCAAATTCGATGAAAATTTTTTTATTTTAATTCTATATATAAAATAGAATTAAAATAAAAAAATTTTCATCGAATTTGTTTAGATAATCATTGAGAAACTCACGTAAAGTTTTAGTACCTACCAAAAAGAAGCTGCGGTAAATTTTTTTTAAAACTTTAAAAAAATATTTCTTAGTGATTACCTATTCAAATTTAATAAAATTTTTTTTATTTCAATTCTATATATATGTGGATTAAAATAAAAAATTTTCATCGAATTTGGCCAGGTTATCATTCAGAAATCTTCATTTAAAATTTAAAACCAAATTTATTATTATTTTTTTTCTTAGATTTAAATTTTTTTAGCTTTAAACCTGACCAAATTCGATGAAATTTTTTTTATTTTAATTCTACATATGAGTGCTGCCAAGGGGAAAGGGCCGATCAGACTTTTATGCATTTTATAGAATATTAGACTTTCTGATTGACACCACATCAGGTTTTTAATTTTATAATAAACCCCTGAAAATTATCGGTAACTCAAATTTTTTTAGATGTTGTTTTAATTAATTTTTTTAGACGTTGTTTTAATTAATAAACATCTTTCGAAATGCCATTTTACTACTACTCTTAAGCAAACAAATAACTTTTCAAAGATCGAGCAAAAGGCTGCACAAAGAATCTAACATAACTCAGCTATGCTACAGCTGCCACCTCCACTTTACTCTCCTTTTATTAAACAGTTATAGTAAGTTGAGTGAAAGCAGTTAAATTCGGAATTCACGGATAATATAGATAAAGTTAAGCACAAACTTGTAAAGCAGTTGATCCATATTCTATTTTTGTCACAAAGGTTAATCGCTACAATGCTAACAAGCTGAAACAAGAAACACAAAAGAAGGCCAGAATAGTACTCCAAAAATTGTGGTATAGATTTTTTATTGTACAATTCAATATTATAACAATTTAGAACTGTTATTCCTGTATTTCTTTATGTTCTAATGTAAATTTACTTAATATTGTAGAAAACATTTATTATTAAACGCATCTATAGTGATCTTGCACCTATTATATAGTTTATATAAAATTTTAGCATGTGGGTTAGTATTTGGTGCTAGAATTAAGGTTTAGGAAGAATTTTGTAGATGTGGGGCATTTTTACTTAAAGTATCACATATGAATTAGTTAGGCAGTTTTTAAAATAATGCAACATAGGTGGTAAACCATGTTTTAGTAAAAGTGAACAGGAAGCTCTTAATATACTTAGAACAATATGTATGTAATTTTTTGAGCAAATTTTATAAGGAATAATCCAATATTATACTTGTACATTTTATTAATAAATGTTATATGTACAAAATATCAATTTTTTGGTTTTTTTTTATTAATATCATACAAATAAATTTTTTTTTTAGATCTAATTTTCAAGGTTCGATAAAAATTAAATAGGCCTCTATAGTAATTTAATAATACCCAAACCCAGAATTGACATTAAATAACTCAATAGATAAGTATTTATTGGGCATTATTGAAAAAATCTGAATAAATAAGCATCTATTAAGCTTTATTGACTCTATTGTTAACTTTTCCAGAATCTAAAAATAAATCTGTATAATAAAAAATCAACAATTATAGTTAAATTCATTTGGCTGATTTTATATTAGCTGACATCAATAATTATTGATTTGGTCGAATAAATTTGTAAAATAACAAATGTATATAAGTACTATACTTTAAACCTAATTCTTCAGAACACAAGCAATTAATTAAATTAGTAATTTAAAAAAACCTTTGATTTTTTATACTTATACCAATTCGTAATGGAATTTCTAGAAAATTTGGATTAGTTTTTTGAAACTCATGACGAACCTACTTCAGAATCAGACCATAATGAAATAGAGGAGGATTCATGCTCTGGTAAAGAATTAGAAAATACAAGTGATGAGGATACCATATCTACAGATCCTAATAAAACTTTTTCAACGGCCTTAAAAGATCTTGTTAAAAAACTCCAACAGTGTTGTAAATGCAAAAAAAAATGGTTTCATTAACATTATTAGAGTCTTTAGCATTAGAAAGTATTACTATAGGCAAAAAAAATATTACCATTCGATGTTAATACTTCTTGCCACTTCTAATTTTGATTTATATATAAAAGAAAATAATATTAGAATTTATCAGCTTCCTCATTTTGGTAATATTTGTTTTTATTTTTTTTGAGCATTTTGGATGTGTGGCCCAAAAGTTACTCAACATATCTTTGGTTAGATTCGAGAATGTAAACTAATGTTGCCCAAACCTTATGGAAATACTGGTCATAAGCCTAAAAATATCTTACCTATTGAAACAGCTAATAAAGCCAGACTTTTTATTAAATCATTTGGCAACCAACATGGTAAAAAACAGGCAGTTTGAAAATACATACGTAAAAAAAAAGATGGATAAATAACTGTAAACTATGAAAATATGATGTTATTTTTTTACCATCACATTATTTTTATAATCATCTTCTTGATTTTTACAATTTAATGAACCCGGAAAACCTTGTTAATAGTTGTTGGACTTTTCGACAACTATGGAAAAATAATGCTGAGCTTAGTAAAATAATAATAAGAAAACCATCCAAAGATGTATGTGATAAATACACTTTATATAAACATGCATTAAAAGAAAGTAGCAATCATGTAAATGAAGATCTTGATGAGCAATTAATAACTCACGTATTAGATTATCGAGAATTAAGAGCGATTTATGAAAATGATATACAAAAAGCAAAAAGTAGTGATAATTTTTTTCGTGTTTTTTCATTTGACTTTGCCCAGAATATTGAATTACTTCATAATCCTCAACAGCCCAGCTCATAGTATTATCTATCATTGCTAAAAGTATATCAATTTAGCTTAGTAGATGAAGGTATTGATAAATATTGGCACGCAATTTATACTAAGGGTAAAGCATCAAAAGGGCCGAATGAAGTTACTTCAATATTAAATTATTTTCTTGTTTCTGTAACAGACAAAGCAAAAGAAATTAAACTATGGCAGACAATTGCAGTGGCCAAAACAAAAATTCATGTCTTCTTTGGTATCTTCTTTGATTATATGATACCAAGATATTTCATAAAATTGATTACCAATTCCAGATTAAGATCATACAAGAAACTTTGTTGATCGTGGATTTGGTTGTACTAAGCTAGAGTATGCAAAGTCAGAAGCTTGGTGTATTAATCATCTAGTTGATATAATAAACCGAAGTGCAAGTAATAATATCTCTGTAAATTTAGAAGAACATACTGAACTTTTTTGTAATTGGACCTCAGCACTTAGAATATTATATCGAAAGCCTCCTGCTATTCAAAAATATCAACTTTTTCAGTTCACTTACGAAAAGCTTGGTTTAATGAGAGCTAAAATAAGAGTAAAAGATTCTTGGGATGAGTTTCAGTTATTAAAAAAAGACGCCAATCCAGCAAACCTAAGTCCTCAAAAACTTCTATTAAAAGGTTTTTCAAAAGAAAAACAAGTAGATTTTTGGAACAAAATTTGTCCATACTGTCCAGCCGAATTTAAAGATAAACTTTGTCCAAGACCTCCAAACGATGCGGTAAAGAGAGTTGGAAAATTAAAAAGAGATCGTGCAAAAGACGCACAGAGTAAGCAGAAGAAAAAGAATGAGAATATAAATAAATAATATTTTTGACAAAAATTTTTTATACCTGTAACGGTAGCTTTAATAAAAAATGGTTCAAAATTGTGTAATGCAATACATTTATAGCGATCAATTTTTACAGAGGTTTTGTGTTACATTTTATAAATTAAAGCCCGATGTGGCATTAATCAGAAAGTCTAATATTCTATAAAATGCTTAAAAGTCCGATCGGCCCTTTTCCCTTGGCAGCACTCATATATATAGAATTGAAATAAAAAAATTTTTATTGAATTTGAATAGGTAATTACTAAGAAATATTTTTTTAAAGTTTTGAAAAAATTTTATCGCAGCTTCTTTTTTGTAAGTACTAAATCTTTATATGAAGTTTTCTCAATGATTATCTAATTAAATTCGATGAAAATTGGTTTATTTTAATTCTATTCTATCTATAGAATTAAAATAAAAAAATTTTCATCGAATCTGATTAGATAATCATTGAGAAAACTTCGATTGAAGATTTAGTACCTACAAAAAAGAAACTGCGATAAATTTTTTTAAAAAATTTAAATAAATTTTTCTTAGCGACTATCTGATTAATTTCAATAAAAAAATTTTTATTTTAATTCTACATGTTTGTAGAATTAAAATAAAAAAAAAATTCATCAAATTTGGTTAGATAGCTGTTGAGAAATCTTCGCTTAAAGTTAAAAAAAGATGTTTTTACTACGGTTTTTTGCTTTTTTTTTCTAAGATTCTCACCCTTTTTTTAAACTTTAAGCAAAGTTTTCTCTACGACCATCCAACCAAAATTCGATAAAAGTTTTTTTGTTTTAATTATACATATACGTGGAATTAAAATAAAAAAAGGTTTGCTAGAATTAGTTAAATATTCATCGAGAAATATTTGCTTAAAGTTTCTAAAAATCCTTTAAATTTTAAAGGATCGACGCATTTCGACCAGGAATTTTGGGGATCCCCTGTAAAAATCAAGTTTGTACGCGCAAATAGTTTTTATAAACAGTTTCGAGAATAAATATTTTGTATTTCTTTCCAGATAATAAGTTTGATTATGTTTATTGGAATAACGGGTTCCTTTTGTTCTGGAAAACATACTATTGCTGAATGGCTTGTTTCTGTGCACGGTTTTACTCCTTTAACTCTTCGAGATAATGACAGCTATCGACTCGACGCGCTACATTTTGAGACGCCAGACGATCTTCTAGAGTATGTCACAAAGAATTGGATAGATAATTTTGTAACGTGCGACATTGACACTTTATATGTATTAGAAATGTATAGGTAATTTTCGTACGTAATCCTTTTATATTTAGAAATTATTATCGATCTTAACGATGTTGCTTAATAGAAAACGCCCTTTTTTCTTATTATTGGCTGTGGACGGCCCGTTGACAATTCGATACCAGAGGTGCCTGGTTCGGTAAGAATTAATTTGAAAATGATATGTACTATTTCAAATGCCAATTATTGATAAAGTTTTAACGCAAAAGCTGCCAAGATTTAGGTCATCAGCCACCAACTTTAGAAAGATTTATAACTGAGAATGATAAAAGATTATTTAAAATAGTTGCGCCAACAAATGAATTTGTACAAAATGATCAAGATCATACACTAAATTCGGATGACTTTTCAATCTCATCAATTTATAACCTAATGACTATGGCCGATCTCACGGTCGTGAATTCTTTTTTATCATTACAATTACTCTATGCGCATCTCCACAGTCTTAATATCACCAATACCGAGAGATTGCGACCTTCATGGGACACATATTTCATGCACTTATCAGATCTGGCAGCATTAAGATCCAATTGTATGAAACGTAGGGTTGGTTGTATATTAGTTAAAGACTTTAGGGTAATCGCGACTGGATATAATGGTACGGCAAGAGGCTTAAAGAATTGTAATCAAGGCGGTTGCGAACGTTGTAATGACGCAGTCCCATGTGGAAAAGAATTGGATACTTGTTTATGCCTACACGCAGAAGAGAATGCGTTATTAGAAGCTGGGAGGGAAAGAGTTGGACAAGGTAGCATTCTTTATTGTAACACGTGAGTATATATTGATATGTTGATGATCAAAGTAAAAGCACGAAAATTTACTTGAATTTGAACTTTTTACCTTTGAAGTACCAAGTTAATAGTTTTTTTTTTTTTTAGGTGTCCATGCCTTAGTATGTAAATAGATCTTTATTTAATTGAGCTGTTTTTTCCTGTTATAATGGATTTGATCTTATAATTAAATATTTTAAGGGTGCTCGGTAAAATTAATTCAATCAGGAGTCACTGAAGTCGTCTATAACAAGTAAGAATGAATACTATAAAATATTGATTTTGTAACGTTTGTATAATTTAACGTATAATTGTTTATGCACAAATTTCCAAGAACATATGGTATGGATGATTTGACCTATCAAATTCTTAAAGAAGCTGGTATAAAACTAAGACAACATTCGCCACCGACGAGGAGATTAGTATTGCAAAAAAATGATTATATGAGTAACATCGCGAACATTAGTGACATCATGATGTGAACGCTTCAATCAATAATAAATTTTTTAATAAATATCATCAAAGTATAATATAGCAATTGCAAACCAAATATTGTTCAATGAGAGGACGATTAAGATGACTACCTCTTGTAAAATTGGTGTGTCTAGTAGAACTTTTTTTTTTTTTTTTTTTTTTATGTGCCAATTTTAATCATTAAATAAACAACTTAAATGGATATCCAGGATTTTTTATTCT